CTCCATCGCCAATTACAAAGCCACAAAAACCTCCACAAGCAGCGCTGTGATCCGCAACTGCCAAAGAAAAGTTCAGATAGGTACTGTGATTCGCAGCACTGGAGAACAATTTAGATCCACAAGCAGTGTTGTGAATAGGCAAAACCACAGAGGTGTGGCGCCGTTCCTCAACTACGCCCACAAATTTGTGGCACCACAGCGTCGTGCCTCAAATTCAACCTTCACGGCATGGCGCATGAGCGCATAGAGAGCATCGAGCTGTAGCTGCTCCTTTGATGTCGCACCTTAATGTCGAAGGTTGGTGTATTGCGAAAGAGAGGGGGGAGGGGGAATTATAGAAAGAAGAAAGTGGAAAATAATTTAGAGTTTGGGTGGATTTATAATTATTAATATTTAAAATATATTAATTAATTAATAAAATATCTGATTTTTGAAAAGATACCGCTATTTCCATCCACGCTTTTTATAAGTACATCCACTTTTAAAAATAAAATTTTACCATATTTTAAATCATATATAAATTTACTTAAAAAAACATAAGTAATAATGAGCAGCCTGAGTAATATAGAGGAGCGTTCCTCCTACAAATCTTTTTGACAAGTGAATTTGACAAATAATCTCAACCCTTATTAAATCAATTTAAAGGTGTAGATTCATTTTCTTGAAATCTTCTAAAAAAACAAAAAAAAATTGGCACCCCACATCCCCCATCTAAATTTGCCAAATGGGCCTAACTATAGATAAGTTCCTCCTCCTTCTCCTCCTCCACCACCATCCCTCCTTGTAACTCTCGTCATATTTTGGTTATTCTCATGATTTATTTAATAAATTCACCTCTTCGAATCACTTGAACACCACTGAGAGCTCTTCCAATATTTATAATTCGTTGATCCATAATAGAAGTAGTAATACTGATAGAATATTATACGGGATTGTGAGATCTAAATTGGATGGAGACTGTACTTGTTGCAAAAGTTTGGAGTTTCCCATAATTAATTCGAGCAATTCATTGACATTCCAAGGAATGGGGAGTCTAACAAGGGTTTGGAGAGTAATTAGCCGAATACTAGTGGGGGTGTGTCTGATTAAAAAAATCTAGATAATGGGAAAAAGTTTTTGGCCTTGACATTGGTAAATTATTGCTCTCAGATGTTGCAAGCCCCTGGCTTCCAGTTGGAGTATTTGAGGTACTCTATAGTTCAACAAAGTTTGTCATATTATAGCTCCACGTGATATTATTGGACATGAATCCACAACACAGAAGAAAATGAGTATCAGCATGTCAGCCTTTTCACTGTGTTTTTTTTTGTTTATATTAATTTAAAGACATTAACAACTCATGTTCGACCAAAAAAAACCTGAAAAAAGGGTATGTTAAAGCATGTGTTTCTTTGAATTGATCAAGAGATTGAAATCATATTGCTACCGCTTAATTTTCATGCCTATTTCTGATATATGCGAATTGTGCATTTGTAAAGTTTAGATGATGGTAGGCATCATTTATCACGAGAATTAATAAGTAAAAATTATTTATATTTTGATATTGGCCACCTACAATGAATATAAAATTGACGTTGATATATGGTATTTAAATGAATAGATTTAATAAAGGTAAGATTGAAAATGACGTGGATGTAAATAGTATTTTTTTAAAAATTTTAAAATTTTATTAGGAATGTACTTATAAAAAACATGAATGAAAATAGTGGTTGCCTATTTGAAATAGTAAATCCAAACTATGATTTATGAAATGAGAACTCTATCTAAATATCTTGTTTAATGTAATTTTGAAAAGAAGAAAATGGACCAAACAAATTAAATGGGCCTCCGCATGATTAAAAGGCCGCTCAAAGCCTTGAAATCTAATCTAGGGCTTCCAGACGATTCGGCTTTCGCGCTGCACTGCCTTCTATAAATCAATTCTACGGCGGCTTCCCTTCCGCCTTGATTCAGATCTCCACTCCTCTTCGGATTTGTGCAGAAATTTTGCGTAAGATCTGCAAGCAATATTTCGAATTCCTGGTATTATTATTATTTTGAAGAATTCATGATGTTATTCTAATATCGCTACAATTATAATATTATTTCGAATCCGATTGATTTAATTTGTGAATCGCACAAGTACTGAAGGCTGCTCTAATGCGATGTAGTGTAGAGAAGCCTATTTATGGTGTGCAAATATTGATATTAAGGGCTCCGCTTTGCAGCTTAAATTCATTCTGTTAGTATTTCTGCTGCCAGTAAAACCCGAACAATTTTTTATTAATAGATAATAATAGTTTTAAGTGGTTTCCTTTTGAAATATCTGTCTGTGTGGTTCATGTTTATATATAAAGTTTTGGTTTGCTATTCATTAAATTCACTTAAACCCTTTTATCTTTCTTTTTTTTTAATTAAAACTCTAATAATCATAAAATATATCTTCATAAAATCATAAAACTCTTATAATCATAATATATAATCTTCAACTAAAATAATAAATCTCTAATAATTATAAAATACATCTTCAATGAAATCAAAACAACAGTGGAAGGATTACTATTGGAGAAAATACATGAAGACACTATAATATATGAAGAAGAATTTGAAAAAATAAGGATTATATTTTATTACCATTACAGGATATACATTAAGTCAAATTTCATCAATTTTTATTTTTGTTTTTGAAAAAACAAATCATGTCATAAGGTGGGAGTCTTGACCCCAACATTAATGGCTTTCAACTTATACAGAAGTATTGTCTTCTCAGTTACTTTACAATAAAGGTTTGGATGAATAGAGTGATTTTTTTAAAATTCTGATCTCGAATTAGAGATGTATTTAAAATTAGACAGTTGCCCCTTCAATAGGGGGTCGTCACTTGACCTCTTGTCAACTAGATTGTACAAAACATTGTACAAATAGAATTATTCATATAACAATTGTGGATGTAAATAGCATAATCCTAAAATTTTTGTTTAATGGATTGAAATGGACGGTGTAAAATCACTATTATTGTTAAAGTGGACTTGTAGAGTTGGGGGTTGGGTCGGGTTTGGGCCCAATCTAAACCCAACTTAATATGTTTAAACCAACCCTTTCGGGTGGAAACTCGACACCGTTCAAAACCAACTAATCTTGGGTGGGTTGGTTTTGACCTTCGAATACTAAAAAAACAATTGTCTGAGTAGCAAATTGCAACACATTGGCATTAAAAGACACGACGCTAGCTTCAGAAGGTACTTGATGCAGAGACTGCTAAGGGAAAATCCTGATGCATCCCATTCATTGCATCGATCATCGAACCTCGAAAAGATTAAAGGACAATGGAGGACCATTGACCCATTAGACTACGGTGATAATTTTTTATTTTTGGCAAGGGTAATTAGTACAAAATGTTCTTCTACCTTTCAATGTTATTGTGTAAAATATTCTACTTATCATTTTTTGTCATTTTCATTCTTATTTTCACATTTCATTACAGAAAATATCATTTTCTCAATTAAAAAAAATGCAAAATAACAAATATACTCTTCTATTTAAAAAGATATAAATAAAAATCAAAGAACAAATTGTAATTATACTTCCGAACCTTTTTAAATACTACAAATGAGTCCAAATAAATTATTAAAAGGGTAATTAACACAAAACCTCACTACTTTTCAATATTATTGTGCAAAACATTCCTACATTTCAATTTTTTGGTATTTTCATCCTTATTTTCTTATTTCATTGCGAAAGTTATTATTTTAATTCATTTTCTCAATTAAAAAATATAAAATGATGAATATGTCATCCTATTTAAAGAAAAGAAAAATAAAGAACAAAACTCTTAGATTTTTCAAAAAAGTACAAATAAATTTTGAATAAATAATAAAAAAAAGAAATAAAAATCACTTTGGTTTTTTAATTATTTATTTGAACTTTTTTTTGAAAAATTTGGGAGTATAATTGTAATTTATTTTTTATTTTTTTATTTAAATATAAGGTTATATTTGTCATTTTACAACTTTTAATGAAAAAATAGATGAAAATGATGATTTTGCAATGCGATGTGAAAATAAGAATGAAAATGTCAAAAAAATGAAGGTATGGATGTTTTGTACAATAATATGGAAAGGTAGAGATCTTTTGTAATAATTATTATTTTAATAATTTATTTGGACTTATTTGCAGTTTTTTAAAAAGTTAGGTAGTATAACAGCAATTTATTTTTTAATTTTTCTTTTCTTTTTTTTTGTTTTATTTAAATAGGAGGATTTATTTGACATTTGACTTTTTTTTTTTTAATTGAGAAAATGACATTTTCCACAATGAAATGTGAATGGAGGAAAAATTGTCAAAAAATGAAAGATAAGAACATTTTGCTGAATAATATTGAAAGTTAGAAATATTGTGTTAATTACCCATTTGACAAAAAGAAACTTTAAGCGAGGGTGATAATCCTCCATGGATGTACATTTTGCCTATGTTTTTCTTTTCAGAATATCAATTGATTTTAATTATTGAATTTAAATTGGACTATTTCAAAATTGTTTGATTTGATTTCAAGTCAAAATGTTGGTAGGTCTACAAGGATCCAAATCTACGATTTCAATTTGATTTGACAGTTTTTTTTATTGCCGTTACTCAAGTAATGACCATTTATTATCCAAATTGATATTTAAATTATGAATTTAAAACTATTTTTAACAACTATTAACTAAACATTATTTGTCTTGCTACTCATACTGTATATTATAAATGATTTTTACCGTGTTTCAATAATTTATTGTCGAAATCAATGTTTTATTTTCTATTTGTTACAAAGGAACACGAAACAAAAGTTTTTTTTATTTTTTTTATTTATTATTATTTTTTTTTTCAAAGAACTCCTTGAAGCCTCCATTTATTTATTTTTTTACTTTTGAATTTGATTCTGGGTAGGTAATCATTTTTTGTTGAATTTGAATTTCCTATCAATTGTTTATGGTGACAAACAATTTTTTTTTATATATATATTTAATTCCTATTAATTTTAATTCTTCGAAAATATCATGAAATACAACAATTAATTCATTACATTTTTGCCCATTACATATTTTTTTAAAATGAAAAGGTACATATAAGTACAATAAGAGTCACAAGATATATATAGTAAGATATAGGGATAATCAGAAAGGGTAACTAATAAGCACACGCTCTTCTCACAAACACAAACCAGACACAGCACTTAACCGATAATCCATAGCAACAATTCTTGAAATAGTGTAAAAAATAATCCGGTGCATACGGCGCACATCAACGCCGAGAGAGAGTTACAGCAGAGAGCAAGATCAAGAGAACAAACAGAAGAATCCCTCCAAATGATCCAATCAAAGAGCCAGAAATCCTTTCACAGAAAGAGTTAAATTGTCGACAAATAGCAAACCAATTTGCCTGCGTATTTCCTTTGTGTGCTAAGTATACGATTGCCGCTGCTGCAGATGCTGCAGCAGTTAAAAGCGCCAGCATTCCCTACATAACAATCAAATCCACTTTTTTTTAGATATAAATTTTAACCAATAAATTTTCATTTCGACGAGACACTTTAGTAAATGGGATACTTTAACAAAAATGTGGAGAAATGTACCGTGTCCAAGAAAATCAAGACAATCCTGCTGACTTGTGCTTTACTCCTTATTATGTGGAAAATGGAGAGTGCAAGAGAAAGAAGTAGATACACACTCACGATGGCATTGGCCACCACGAAAAACCTGCACAAAATCCTCGAAAATTATGCACATATATGGATGGTGAAAAAACGTTGCATTTAACTTTGTCACGTATTCGAGCAAAGGGTAAGGGTCGCAGTAGATTGATAGACAACGTAAAATTTCGTCAAATTTTCTATCATGTAAGAAAGAACACTTGCATACACTTACGTAAACATTGGAAGATCATCATATTTGGCGCGGAATCGAATGAATTGCGTGAAAAAGGGAAGTGATTCATTAGTTGTTCCCATTGCAATAGCACTCCCCAAGGTCGCAATCACCGCAGCAATCCTCAAGATAAAATCGAGTATTGAAACACCTCGACTTGCATTGGTTTTCGGAGTCGAACCCGAGCCTAGTTCAATCACTCCTGCCTTCATTTTGTCAAATAAACTATCGTAAAACGGCTCAAGAAGTTTAACTATGAATGGTCTATATGAGGCTAGGCGTGGGGATTTTATAGGGTCGGGAAAGGTGTAAAGAAATTTTAATTAAACCACTCTTCATGTGGTTAGTACATTATGCAAGCAAAAAGTTGGAAAAATGGGATATTAATTAATTCAATCAACTTACCGTACTAGCTCTATTATCAATATTATTTTAATCCCAAAATTATTTGTTTGCATGTCTCCAGTGTCACCTGATCTTCTCCAGTTTAGGAAAATTGATTCTTCCACAAATTTGGAGTGGTTCCGTAAATGGAGTATATAAGATGAACTAATCCACTTCAATTTATAATAATTCATAAACGACACGTGGATTATGGTTTTCTTAAATATAAATTAATATTAGGAATATCGAGAGTTAAGGTTGGTCCTCAATAGGGAGAAGATTACGTTATTTTCTCTAGTAGAGATAGTCGACGATTATAGAAATTCTTCAATTGCTCGTTTCACAGGTACTTACGAGAATGTTACATGAATTCATGTCGATAATATTGACTAAGTGAAAATGCTTGAAAAACTCTATGAAAATTCTCTCACCGTTGAGGAAGAACAAGCCTTCAATTTCCAAGAAAAAAATTCCATAAATTTGTTCGGCCCTCTATGAGAAAGAACATTGATGATAGACCACATTTTGATTCCTAGATGGGTATTCAATTTGAAATTGGTAAATCAAAAGTATGTTAAAAAAGTTATATGAATTTTGTACCAAAAATTATGTGCATAAATAAATGGATAATGCCTTTTGTACAATATATTTCGACAACATTGTTGACAATGTTATGTGTGTCAAAAAAGTGTTGGTAGGAAAGAAAAATTATTTTTTAAACTGTCCAATGATAACATGTCACGTGACATATTGTCAACAATGTTGTAAAATGGATTGTACACCAAGCATGATTGTAATGCAAATGCTATCAACCTTCGGGCTCATTTGCATTTTCGTATTCGATCTTTCTTTTGACGACAAGTTTGTCCCCAACTTTTTGAAAATTAGAAGAACTAATCCGAATGGATGAATTCGGTGCATTGCTTCCTTTAGGGAGCATATGAACCGAATGCAGAAATTGAAAGGGTCAAAATTGTGATTCTTAATTTTTTATTAAAATATTTTGAAAAATGAAAACTGAGAAAAAAATTAAAAACATGAGGCCTACCCCCAAAAGAAGAAATTTCTAAAATTGAAGTTACAAAGATTTTGTTTCCAAAATATGAATATTTGGGCTAACTTTTTATAATAACTGGAAAGTTAATTATGGCAACTGGCTCCACATAAAGGGAAAATTCTAATTTTTTTTTTCAAACAATTCCACAAAAATCTGTCAAAATTGAAACCGGGAGATAAATTTTCTTGGGTGGTGAAAACTAAAGGAAAACTCTGCAAGTACAGAATTTTTTGACAGATTTGGTACAAAAAGACAGTTACTTTCCTGTACAAAATCTGTAGAAAAAATATGTACTTGTAGCATTTTTCAAAAACTGAAACGTCAAGTTCTTTCTTATAGACTCCATTTGGAACAAAATCCTCTCCACAAAATTGTAATTCTTGGACATTGTACGTATTATTGCATCATTTGTTGTTTTGTTATTTGTTTATCATTATTTTGTTTTGATTAGAATATAATATAAATTTCTTTTATCATCATCGAATATATATGAAAGTGATTTTCAATAATTGCTCCCAAACTCTGTAGAAAGTACAAGAAAAGATACCTTCAAGACACCATGTCAAACCATGAATGTTTTGATAGTTTTGTGTTTAGTGTTTAAATGTTAGAATAGTGAAATAATAATAATAATAATAATAATAATAATAATAATAATAATAATAATAATAATAATAATAATAATAAATAAATAAATAAATAAATAAATAAAAATTGTGTAATTTAACATGGTTTCTTATCCTGTTTTATTCCACAAGTGTTTTTTACGTTATACATCAATATATTATAGTTGGTTTCTCAAACGACGAATTCAATTAATTACATCATGTTTCTATACAATAGTGCAAATATATATCCACGTTGAGTAGTCAAAAAATGCAAGAAATTACATCGTCCAGCAACCTTTTTTCATTCCATAATTTAATAACAAACAATATATTAGAGTGATTTTCTCAAATTATTGCATCAATATGCCCAAGGATCTATTGCACATGATTATTATTTTATTGCATCAATATGCCCAAGGATCATTATGTTACTTCAAGTCAATTCATTGAGATCGAAAATCAAGTCATTTTATTCATCTAAATTATATTTCTTTACTATAGAATTCAAATATGAAACATCGAGACTCATTAAACGAAGATGAATACGATCTAGTTTCCATTGGATATGAAATAATGCAGAGACGAATTCCCTTAAGATTGTTCGATCTAAACGAATTATTGTATGTACATTCGATAAAGTCTAAAAAAATCTCTCAAAATTTTATCAAATCATGTGCACTAGATGCTATAAACTAACAAAACTCTTAACAGATCTTATGAGCAAAGCTGTAATGAAGTAATGGAAAGAAACAATCTTCTTTGATGACCCATGCAATGCCCCCATTATGGTGTTAGTTCATGCTCAACTATGACTAGCATGAAAAAGAGATGGTAAAGAAATGATAGTTTAATATGGACTATATTGGATTAGTTAATAAACATCAATATGTTTCCAAGGACGAAGAACGTAAAATTAAAAATTCCTATTTTTCCCAGGCAATCCGAAAAATGTAAACAAGATGACTATTGAATAAAGTGATAATTTACTCTTAGGGTCCGTTTGATTGTAAATATGAAATTTGGGTAGAAAGAAAACGAATTCCAGGGAATTGAATTACCTAGAAATTGTTTTACTAGGAATTGTCAATTATTGTGTTTGATTTGTATAATTTTTTACGTGAAAACTATTGAAATAAAAATATCTTTTGATGTTCATTTGGCTTTATTTTTCATGAAAATTGTCAATTTAAGGGATATTCACTTCTACATTTAGTCCTAGAATTTGTTTCCATTGCAAAAGTAAAAAAATAAAAATAACAAAAAAATAAAAATTCGAAAATCATCTGAATTTTAGTGTTCGTTTGACTTTACTTTACATGAAAATTATCAATTTAAGGGATATCATCTTTTACAATTGTTCCTAAAATTTGTTCTCATTGAAAAAAAAAAAAAAGTTGAAAAACCAAAAACCACCAAAATGGTGGGAAAACCAATTCCTCAAAAACAAGGAAAAAGGTCACGTATGGGAAGGAAGTGGAAAACTAATTGCCAAGAAAATTTTCCGATCAAATCGCCACAAAGATGGAAAATGAAATTGCATTTCCTAGTTCCATGAAAAAGAATTGCTATCAAACATGACCTTAGCAATATAAAAAATTTGCGGAAATACCAAAACCTTAAAATTGCCTCAAAAAAAATACCATATTCAAATTACAAATCTTAAAATAGCCAAAAGCAAACTAGTACGCGGGCAAATCAAATGAATGAGCCACGATCACTACATATAGGTTGTTATCTACAAACAAGTCGTTTGTATTGGCCGGCCGAGTGGGACAACTACATGGGGTCTCCATATATTCAATTTTGTGATGCAGTTAAATAAATATGTGGTTCTTGCTCGAAGTTTGCTGCTCCTGGGTAAAACCCAAATATCAAAAATGGGTATTTCAAATTGGGGTTATATTTTTTATAGACACGAGAAAAATAAATAATGTTAAAGACAACATATGAGATGTTGAAGATTACAATGGAAAATGAGGCAAAAAGTTTATTGTAGCTTAAGGTATTGAAGATCTTTTTGAGAGAGGAAAGGAAGAATATGAATTTGATGATTTGGGGCCTAAATCGTGGATTTTCATAACTTTTAGTTTTCAAAATCTACTTATTTATATCAGTATTTTGTTAATAAAAAAATTAAATTGTAAAAGTCATATTTTTGATATTATGATCAATGTTATATAAAGAGTAATGTGTGACAATGCATGGAGGCCAAGTTTCGATCGATGCGCTCCTAAACGAGGTTTAGGCATAAAAAGTTGTAAAAAGGCTTTTTCTTCTTTTTAATATTATTTTAAAACTTTAATCAATTTAAAAATTATTTAATAATGCATACAAGTTATAGTACCAAATGCAGTTTTAAAAAATTTAACAAAATAAATATATTTTCGAACAATAAACAATATATATTACAATAGAGCTAATTGAAATATTTGGAGAGTTTTCAATTTTTATTAATTAGTAAAAGATAAGAACATGATTAATTAACTTAATAAATATATAGAGAACAATAGTACAATACACTATAGCCAAACTAAATGTACAATATATTGCAGCCAAACCAAAGGTTCAATGTAGCCAAATCAAAGGAATTATTATCATATATCGAAAGTTTTCAACAAAATTTTTGAAGATGCTATCTATACATTAGTGAACCGATAAATGGGTAAGTAATTTTTTGGGTCTTTCAATCTATTGGCGTAAAAGTTGAAAAAAAAATATTAATTTTTAGGTCTTTAAATCCAATTGAACTAAAAGTTGAAAACTTTATGTAGTGTTAGAAAGAATAAAAAATAATAACAATAAAGAGTCAAGGCGAGCCTAGGCTTACCTTAAAGCAGTCAATGTTTTTGTTGACCACTAAAGTAGCACATAGGTCCAAAGCATGGCAAAAATGCCACATCTCGTGCCTAGGGGCCATCAAGGCGTGCTATTTAGAACACTGGACATGATTAAAGTAGCACATGTAATTTCCTCTAAACTAAATAGAAATTAGGCCTAGTTCAGCTCAAAATCAAGAAAGTAGATTAATACCTTTAACAATTATTAATATTTAATAAACAGTAAATTTTATGTGAATTTTCATTTTAAAGTGTGTGCCACTTTTTGTTTTAAAAGTGGTGGAATAAAAAGTAACATGATATGCCACTCTTTGTTTCAAAAGTCTCCTTGTGTGAAATAAATATCATCTGCCA